AAAAGTCGATGTCTTCACCATCCAATTCGGTAGAGTGTTTACTCCTGGGCCTGCACGATGACGTTGCGCTCTCGTGCCTGGCCCGTGCCAGTCGGTCGGACTACTCCTCCCTATCCTGCCTGAACAAGAAATTCAACTTGCTGATGAAGAGCGAGTACCTGTATGAGCTGCGGCGGCAATCAGGCATAGTGGAGCACTGGGTGTACATGGTATGTGACCCCCGGGGCTGGGAGGCATTCGACCCTTCCCGGGATAAATGGATGCGGCTGCCGAAAATACCATGTGACGAGTGCTTCAACTACGCGGACAAGGAATCCCTTGCGGTGGGCAGCCAGCTGCTGGTGTTCGGGCGGGAGATGTTGGAGTTTGCCATCTGGAAGTACAGCTTGAGCCGACGTGATTGGTCCAAGTGCAGTGGCATGATCCGGCCACGCTGCCTTTTTGCATCCGGAAGTCTCGGCTCGATTGCCATTGTGGCCGGTGGGAGTGATAAAAATGGGAACGTTCTGAAATCGGCGGAGCTTTATGACTCATTGAGTGGTGAGTGGGAGGAGCTGCCGAGCATGCAGGTGGCTCGTAGGCTGTGCTCGGGTTTCTTCATGGACGGGAAGTTTTACGTGATCGGAGGAATGAGTGGGCCAACGGAGTGGTTGACCTGTGGGGAGGAGTTTGATTTGAAGACGAGAAAGTGGAGGAGAATCGAGGGGATGTACCCAAATGTGAACCGGGCTGCCCAGGCGCCGCCGCTGGTGGCAGTGGTCAATGAGCGGCTGTATGGGGTGGAATACTTGACGAATATGGTGAAAAGGTATGATAAGGAAAAGAATGTTTGGGAAGATGTTGGGAGGCTTCCGGTGAGGGCCGATTCGTCTAATGGGTGGGGGCTCGCATTCAAGTCGTGTGGGGGGACCATTCTTGTGGTTGGTGGCCAACGCGGCCCAGAAGGGGAAGCAATTGTGTTGAGTTCTTGGAATCCGGCCAAATCCAATGGGACTCTCGATTGGGAGGTGGTTGGGGTGAAGGAGCATGCTGGGGTGTTTGTGTACAATTGTGCCGTCATGGGCTGCTAGCTAAGGGGTAAGAGAAAGAAAAAAAAACAGGTTTTTTTTGTTATGTTAGGCCATTTCTGTGTCTTTCTTTTTGTTTGAGTTTGTGTTGTTTCATAAAGTTCTTGAATCTTTTGTTTCGGTTTTTGAACTTGTAGTTTTTCATGCTTTTATCTCATGATTTGTGTTCATACTTTCACTGCAAAATATGAGCTGCTTAAATTAGGGAAAACCAATTTAGGGCTCCTGTGTGTGATACTTTGGAAATGGAGTGGGGTATTAAACTCAAATGTGTTGTTATGTTATGGCTGCCTGCGCCTGCCTCTCCAGTTTCAAGTTAGCCTTCGTGTTTATGTGATACTTACTTGGGAATATTCGAATTATTGTTTGAATATTCGACACTTTTTTCCTCGTTGCTTGTGAGAGATTATGGTCATCAGCTGGCTCTCATTGTGTGATGGATTGGAGCCCTCTGTTTAGGACTTCGTGTGTCTATTGCACATTCATGAATACGCAGAAGCTAAGGATCGTATACACGTATTTTCTTTCTCCTGTTGATTGTGATTTGATTGAAGCCAGGCATGTGTATTTTGTAGCAGAACTCTGCTTGCTTGCAACTGGTGTTTTGGAAGATCGAGTTGGTCAAGATTTAAGGGTTTTTTTTTCTTCTCTTTAGGCATTGTATATTAATTGTATTATTTTTAAATTTCAGTATGCATTATTCATTACTAGTCAAATAATGAAGATTTTCAGTGGAAAAAAGAGACACCAAACAGAAAGGGGAGGAAAGAGAAGTATAAGGCCATCTCCAATTGATAAGGTTGGGTGAAGGAATTTCGGCAGGATCATTTTTCATGTTTTAAATTAGGACCTTATCCTTAGACCGAGCCGAGCCGTTCATATTGACCAGACGTAATGGGAAAGCAACTCGATGGATAGAACACCTCGTGGTTAGACAAATAGCTTGAAAGATACATGATCTTACTTTGAGTCATTCTAGCTCGACCAGAGTGGGGGAATAGATGATACGGTAAACTATACCAACTATTAAGTCGTGTGCGGTTAGAAAGTAGCTCGAGCAGTTCGAGTAGACCAACAATTCGAACTGAGGTCGTACAACATGAAGACTCGAGGTCGACAGAGCACCAAGTCTGTGAGGGCCTCCAAGGCAATTCAACAGTAGGTCGAGCTAGGATTTTATGATACTTTGATGAAAACTCGACCTGGAAGTGAAGAGGCCGATGGTAGACCTAAAAAGCACACTTGCTCATTAAAGAACAAAACATTTTAAGTATAGAAGAAGTCAAGCTAAAAGCTCGACAATACTTAGATCTATTACCTAATGAGGTAGATCAACGTGAACACACTAGGATAACACAACTAAGTACAAAAATAATAGGATAAAAAGGACACGTGGATAACAAAATTGAGAAGTTCAGGCACCCATATATACCCGTAGCAAGGTAAATACTCTATATAAGGGGGTGAGATGTGGTCATTACCCCACTATACACTCTGAATATTCTAGATTTATATATACACACAATACATCGTTATCCCTATTTACTAACTTAAGCGTCAGACCTTCTATGGCGGAATCAACCCCAACGTTGTTTTGCAGGTCATTTCACTTATTCAACGACAGATCGAAGAACGTCGAACCGGGTCGAGGTGGTTTACACTATCATATATTCATCAACAAGTTTCATTGATTTATGCAAAATAAGAAAATGATGAAAAGTGGAAAACATGATAGAACCATAACTTTAGATAGGAGGGTATTGGGCAATTGTTACAACTTTTACTGCCGTTAAAACGAACCTTTGATAACCACGAGAATTATGTGAATACATAAGGCATAAGCCATTCATTGTATGTGTCCCATTTTAGTGTCTTAGCTCCATATTGATTATTTCTCTTGTTTGTGGATGACAAATAAAACCCGTGTCCTTGATTGTTTGTGACGGATTTTGATTGATCAGAATATATGCAAAATTGCATGTTGTCAAAAATAAAATTCCTATGTCGAAAATAAGCCCCGCCTTTTCTTAAAATAAGTAATGTTAATATGTAATGTTCATGAAATGAAACGTTATACACAAAAATTTGTGAAAATAATTAACGTTAATATGTCTTGTTGTTAAAATTCTTGAGGGAGAGCTTTGCCGCCCTTGTGGTCCTACCCGGCTCGATTCCGGATTAGTCGGTTTCCCTGTGGATCCGGAAACCGGAAGGTCCCTGTACCAA